GCAGCGGGCTTGCAAGCCTCGGTGTTGCCCCCTCGCCTCGCTCAGCCAGTGAGCGGGAACCGGTCTGTATGTGGGATCTGAACCCTCGGACAGGAGCGCCGCCCCGCTCCCCAAGCGGCGCACTATCCAGTGCGCCACCGGGCCGGCCCGCTTTAGAGACTCTTCTATATTTTAACATTGTAGCAGGCAAAGTGTACTCAAATAATCAAGGATGCTGAGGGGAAGGAGGAAATGACTGCAATTCAAGGCATGCTAAAATAATATTTTTTTCCATCTTCAAAGATAAAAGCTGAGAGACAATAAGGCGTATTATAATACCATAAAATCGTAAACGGGATTATGGAGTTCATTAACTTACAAAGTACTAATATTAAAGACATCTTAAAGAATGAACTATGTCTCTTCAGAAAGAAAAGACAAGAGCTACTTTGCAAAGTCTGTAAACTTAAGAACCATTTTTATAATAGGTGAGAAAACAAAATGCATTCAACAACATTTAGCTAAATCCATGGATGGTTACTCCATGATAGGCTATTAAAATAAACCATCAAGAAGTTGTTACATAAACTTTGGGGTCAAGCAAAACCAAAGATAATAAGTCCAGTGACACTACCAGAGAAATAAAACAAAGCTATACAAATCATAAATATGCTGTGTGAATTTTTTTAGTGTCTTCTTAAGTACACATATAAACTTGTAGGCATTTGTACTTTAGCTCAAAAACTATAAAATATTTATCACATAAAATACTTTTAAAAATTTTTATTAAAATAAATTTTTGTTGCTGAATCGATTTTCTGCATAAGTGTTTTTCTTCATGAATATACATTGTTATTATCATGAATACTTATATATTGTGCTTGTAGATAATAAAGACTTTATGACACTTTCCATGTATTTAGGACTGTGAATATAATGCATGTTATGAATTTTGGTATTGGTGGAAACAATAATATTATTTAACTCTAAGAATAAGGGGCCAAGTCAACATTAAGAAAATCTTATTTGAAAATGATTTGCTTCAGTTTGTAAGCTAATAGTAAACAACATTTCACAGTACTCAGTTATAATAAACCTAGCCAAGTTAGGACAAAACTATGTACAGACAAAATATTAACACAATACTAGTAGCCAATGTAGATTGTTTTTCCTAAAATATATAGACCAAGATCTGCAGCTTATTTTTATTCATTTTATTTTATTAAATAAAATGATATTAAATATTCAATTAAAATCAGAACTATTTTTATTTTTATATATAGAGAGGTTTTATATGCAATAAAACTGTACAACTTGATGAGATTTTAGAATAAAAAGAGGATATATTATTGTGATCAAAATTTTAAAGGATTTTGAATAGATAACAGTTAAGAGAAATTTTGGTAAGTAAAATAATACAAATAAAAATCTCTCAATTACACATCACTGCCCTTAAATATAACCAGAGAATCTAAAGGTCTGTACAGCCCATAATCACTCACCATAAGAGACTCCATCCTTAACCTTGGAGTCAGACCACAAATGAGACTAATATTCTATAATCCAACAGGCATCAGACATTCACTCATTTAAAAACCAAAGCAAGGAAAGTGAAATGAGTAACATTCAATGAGGAACAGTTATGAGTTTTATTCCTTTACATCCTAGAAAGAATTTAGTAAAGTGACAGACTGCTTTTGTCTTAATAATTTCCAGTGCCCAATCAGGTGACCCCAGAGGACAAACTTCAGTTAGTGGAAAGAGGTTTGGAATACATATTCAACAAGCCATTTCAGAGAAAAATATTCTCCCTGTCTGGAGCTAGTCCTCATGCTGGATTGGGAGAAATGGCAATGTTTCAACCTCAGATGCTGACCATCTTATCAGAAAAGTGAAGGGATAAGCAATTTTATGCCTACTGCATGTTATCAATGAAAAGTGTGTATGCACACACACACACACACACACAGACACACCCCTCTTTATGGAAACTCTAAGGCCACTTTAAGAATCTCTGGAAATAATCCAGTCTGGAGAAGATAGAAGCATTTATTCTTTCAGCAAAAAATTAGCAAAAGCCTTTTAGGGACTATGATGTGAATTCAAAGTTGAATATGATAGAGACAAAGGACAAATATTTATTAAGTGCCTATGACTAGTACTATGCCTTAATTCTGTCTCTGGATGTCTAGAAGGACTATGCCATTCCTATGATACCATCTTGCCTCCTATCTTCAGGGAGATCACCAGTCATCTCAGAGTCAGGTGGTGTTAATCAAGATCATAAGTAAGCAGGTTCAGTTTTTCCTGAATTATTGCCCATCAGTCTTTTAGAGTCATACTATTTAAGGCCCTTTGGTTGTGAGCTATTTGAAATAATAGGCATATTTTTGGATGAATCAGAGAATCTATTATTTACACAAGGTATACATTTCAAATAAAACTGACTCTTCTAAAAGTACAAGAAAATTAATATGACAGCAAGTATTTACCTGGAGCTTTGCCATGGTTAATGATATGAATCTCTTTACAATACACTTTGCTATTGGCAACCAATTTGCCAAAATTAACTACTGACTCAATTTCCAGTTGACAGGATGGAATCAACCTAAGGGAGGAGAAAAGAGGGCCACATCATTAATTTTAACAATTATAACAACCTCATAGTTAAATCTATATACAGACATAAGCAGACACTTTTATCTTAACACCTTAAGAGACATTTCAGTTTCCTTACAGGTCTGCCAATGACATACTTGTCAGTAAAAGTAATTATGAAGTAAAGTTATGAAAACAAGATACATGGAGTTTAAATCAATTTATATTAATAACATCATTAGTAACAAATGTTAAAAACATATTTGGATTTATAACTAAAGGAAATCTATTTATACACATATTTATATTTACATATATATGGGTATAAGTAATATACATATTTGCATATGCATCTCATTCCTGGTGATGTTGAATAAAACTTCTAATCATAAAAATGTAATACAGGTCTTCCTTTCTGGCATGGAGGCACTTAATATCCCTTCTGGCTGCTCCTAGATGCCCCATATGGCTTCACCTTAGACCCAGTCCAGCTGTTACCAGCAGGGGCTGTGGGAGCCATAGGGAGAATGCCCAGATACCTGTAAGCCAGGAAATGCCAACCAGGAGCCAAGCATCTGAGTGAGCACCCCCACAAAAGGGCACCCAGCTGGAAGCCTCCACTACCTCCAGCAGCTCCCTCCACTCCCACTGACTGACCAAGAGCTGAGCAGCTGAGTGATCACCCCCATGAAAGGGCACCCACCAAAAAGCTCCCAGCAGCCCCCTCCCCTCCTGTAGCCTGACCAGGAGGTGAGTGTGTATCCCAAAACCAGGCAGTGTCACAAACACTATTTCCATACAGGTGGTCTACCATAGCCACTGCCACAGCAACTGCTGCCCAATGATGACCCACTGCCATAGAAACAGCCAGAACCACCCTGCAGGCAGCTCGCCACACACTTGACTGCATCAACACAAGAAGAGTCACCAGCAGAGCCTGCAAATACAGGAGGAAGTCTTTCTCCTCAAAGCCCACTACAGAGTAATAGAAGAAACAACTGCTCTACCAGATGACCAGGCACCAATGAAGAGACACTAGGAATACAAATAAACAAGAAAATATGACACCACCAAAGGAATACAGTAATTCTCAAGTACTAGACACCATAGAGCAAGAAACTCTTGAAATGTCTGAAAAAGAATTCCGAGCAACAATCTTAAAAAAATTTAAAGAGATAAGAGAAGACTCAATTAGAGAACACAGCAAAGCAAGAAAAAATATCTAGATATGAAGGAGGAAATTTACAAAGAGATCAATACCTTAAAAAAGAATGTAGCAGAATGCCACGAACCTAAGGAGTTATTCAATGATATAAAAAACACAACTGAGAACGTAAGCAGCAGGTTAGATAAAGCAGAATGAAAAATTCCATATCTCCAAGATGGTCTTTCCAAAATAGTCCAGGCAGACAAAAAAAGAAAAAAAAATTAAATGAAGAACATCTAAGACAGCTAGTAGGCAACCTTAAGCACACAAACATCCAACTCACAGGCATTCCAGAAGGGAAGAAGAAAGGAAAAGACATTGAAAACCTACTCCAGGAAATAATAATGGAAAACCTCCTAGGTATAGGGAGTGACACAAACCTTCAGATCCAGGAAGCCCAAATATCCCCAAACAGATTCAGTCCAAAAAGATCCTCCCCAAGACACATGATAGTCAAGCTGGCAAAACTCAAAAACAAAGAGAAAATCTTAAAAGTGTCAATCACCTATATAGCAGCCTCCATCAGACTAACAGCAGACTTCTCAACTAAAACTCTACAGCCCAGAAGAAAATGGGATGATACATTCAAAATACTGAAAGAAAAAAATTGTTAACTAAGTATTCTATGCCCAGCAAGTCTTTCCTTTATAAATGAGGGAAAAATAGTGTATTTCCAAGACAAACAAAAACTACAGGGGCTCACCACCAGACAATCAGCCCTGAAACAAATTCTCAAGGGAGTCCTACATCCCAAATCTGAAAAATGATAATCACTATTAGGAACACACAAGAAAGAACAAAAGCCACTGTTGAAACAAAAATGAGAACAAGAAAGAAAAAAGAAACTAAATCATACCACCTCAAAAAAACCAACAAACACTGAAGATGAATAATAAAAGGGGAAGAAAGGAATAAAAGATATTTAAAACATTTAAACAAAAAGCAATAAAATATCAGGAGTAGAACAATACCTGTCAATAACAACCCTAAACATAAATGAATTAAAATCCTCATTCAAAATACACAGCCTGATTGGAATAAAAAACTAGACGCACTATATGCTTACTTCAAGAGACTCACCTCACTAGTAAAGGCAATCTCAGACTAAAAGTGAAAGGATTGAAAAAGATATACCATGAAAATGAAACCCAAAACAAGGAGGAGTAGCTATATACAAGGAATTCAAATAACTTAACAGTAAAAAACAAGCCATCGAATTAAAAAATGGGCAAAGGAGCTGAATAGGCATTTTTCAAAGTAAGACATACAAATGGCCAACAGGTACATGAAAAAATGCTCAACATCACTAGTCATCAGAAAAATGCAAATCAAAACCACATTGAGATATCATCTCACCCCAGTTAGACTGGCTATAATCAAAAAGACAGAGAATAGCAAATGCTGGCGAGGATGTGGAGAGAAGGGAACACTCCTGCAGTGTTTGTGCGACTGTAAATTATTACAACCACTATCGAAAACAGTATGGCGTTTTCTCAAAAACTACAGATAGATCTTCCACACAATCCAGCAATCCCACGTCTGGGTATATACCCAAAGGAATGAAAATCATCATGTCAAAGGTATACCTGCATTCCCATGTTCATTGCAGCTCTTCTTATAATAATCAAAATATGGAACCAACCTAAATGTCCACCGATAGATTACCAGATAAGGAAAATGTGGTATATATACTCAATGGAATACTACTCAGCCATAAAAAAAGAAAAAAAATGAAATCCCACCATGTGCAGCAGCAAGGGTGAGTTTGGAAAAATTATGTTAAGTGAAATAAGCCAGAAACAGAAAGAGAAATACTGCATGTACTCACTAATAAGAGGGTGCTAAGAAAGAAGAAAGGAAGGAAGGAAGGAAGGAAGGAAGGAAGGAAGGAAGGAAGGAAGGAAGGAAGGAAGGAAGGGACAGAGGGAGGGACAGAGGAAGGGAGGAAAACCGCTGGCAAAACTCAGGTAAAGATCCAAGCATATGCATCATTTTTTTAATGCATAGAATGTATTTTCTCCTTGAATT